CTGGCAACGGTGAGAAAGAGCCCTGTGGCTCTGCTGCCATGGGAGAGACAGAAACACAGAGTTTTAAAGCTCTCTTTTTTAACCAGAAGCACTGGCTGCTCCAGGGCTGTGAGTGCAACCTGCCAGTATAGAAGTTACAAACCCCAAAACGATCAGTGATCCAAAAGAGGGGTGGTTTCTGGTATCCTGTTCCTTCCTCCCTCCACACACACACCTCAGAGGACCTTCCCACAGCACATCAATGCAATTTAAGTTTAAACACAGCATTTCTGACCAGGAATGCAACACCCAGTGGCTCCTCCCTCCTTCCCACAGCCGCCTCATTTTAATATCGTTAAATGGATTACTTGAGACAACCTTAATTATTGCAGTATTTGCAAGGGAAGAAGTGATCTCTCAGTAACCAGTTTCTGTCCCTTTGCAGAGCAGAAGGTGTTTCGTAGCAAACCTGGGAGTAAAATGGCATCAGAGGTTCAGCCCCAAAGTGCTTCAGCAGAAACACCAACAGCTGAACAGGTACGTGTGTGTCCTGATTGATGCTCTGCTGTCACTGGGTCTATACAGCTCCCCCTGCACCCCCCTGTCTTCAGAAAGGAGCTCAGAAAATAGGCATTAATTAACAAAATTATGCTATCACAGGAAAGAACAGGAAGCTTCTAGTAATGAGCCATTTAGCTCCGAAGGGTTTCAGTCAGACATGTCAAACCAGCTCACAGAGCACGTCAACAGCCAACACCAACAAGCAAAGCCAGCTGAAAAACAAGCAGTGAAGACCCTCAATTTGTTGCAACAGAAGGGCAGCTTGATGTAACTCCCATAAATGCAGGGCTGGTTCTTGCCAATAACAACCTGTTACCACCGAGGACACAGAGCAAACACTCTCATATTTATCCACCACCCCGAACAAGCCACAGGTCGTGTTCCTTCCAGTTGTCACAGGCAAAGCTGAGCCACCACGTTGCCCCTACTCTACACAAGAGCAAAGGATGCTGCCCTGAGTCAGACCTGCTCAGGAACTGCAGTTTCTTGCTCTCAGCTCCTTCCCTCCATCGGCAGTGGTACCTCCACAACCGCACAGTGAGTCAGAGCAAGAGCTGAGCTGGTTGAAAATTACGTCTGTATTTTTGGGATGAGCTCAGTTCTCAGCTTGCTGAGCTCCCCGAGCTGCCTCAGCATGTACAGTGCAAGGATGAGAGCAAAGGGGACACTGGGGGGGGGTGACCATGAAACCACAGCCTGCAGCTCTGCCTTCGCTGAGCTTCCACTGCATCCCGCCCGCCCTCCCACACAGGACAACCATTCCACGCAAATCCCAGGAAACACAGGGTCATTCAGACTGAGATGGAACTCCAAAGGCCTCTGCTACAACCCCCCTGCTCCAAATGGGGCTTTGAAGTCAGACCAGTCACTCAAGACCTTGCCCAGTCCAGTTCTGTGTCTCTCTGATGACACAGATCCCTGGGCAGCCACATCTCACCACATACCATTTGAAAAAATCTCCTTTTTTTTTTAGCTCATGGAACCCTTGACCTACAGAAACCCAAGTTTCCTACTCTGCCCTCCCAGGACTGTCACCCACAGCAAACCCTCTCTGGCCTTGGAGGATGCTCTGATACCTGAGCAAAAGCAAATCAACTCCAAGCACACTCGGCTGGAGCCTCAGAGCTCACATGAAAGCCATTTAACCTTGTAGGTGCTTTCAATCCTGGTGATACTCCATAAAATACAACCAAAACATCATTTTTTTTATGTGCCATAACAAGGTTTCTCCTAAAAATCTTACATTATTGGAATAAATGCTGTGTTGAACACCAGGTCCACTTGCTAAACAGCAGCCTTAGAAAGCAAAGTATGGCCAAAAAAGCCAGCATTTAAAATCTTGTATATTTTATAAATCAAAAGCAACCATGCATTCTGGAGAGCTTGTTTACATGTAAATCAAGAAATCTTAAGGAGGAAGTTGGACATAAATACAGGTAGTGAAACAACAGAGAAGGGGCCACTTCAGAGCAAAACTGGTCATCAAACTAAATCCAGGCCACAACATCCTCAGTTATTTAGAGCACAGACTTGTCTCAAACACAAATTTAAACTACATTTGGGTTGAGCTATCAAAGAATATAAAAATATAAGTTCTTCCTGCAATAACTTTCACAGGCAGTGCAGGACTTTTAGGGAAGACAACTAAAAGCCACACTGAAATACAGAATTCCTGTCATATGCCTGGATGCTATTTTTTCAACATGTAATGTGAGGTGTATATTCAGGCTAATCAAGGTTATTTCTATTTCAACATATTTATATATAAAAAGTGCATTAGGTAATTTTTTAAAATATCCTTCTTACACAGAAGCCATTAATGAAAGTGTATCATCTTCACACTTATTTTAAGCCTTTCTCTTCTGCTGTAATAGTTCAACAGCTCTTGCTTTAACCAACACAGGTGGTTTTTTTCATTCTAATATTAGTGCTGGAGACACCAAACTGGATCACTTGGTCTCCTGCTGGGTTCTTGTTGAATAAAAATTCAACAGTGGGAAAAAGGAGTTCAATCTATGACCTGCCTTACTCACCTCAGGGTGCAGCTGCAGAGGGTGAGTAACCTACTACGAGTTCTAACTGCAGAGCCCAACCATTCTGGGACATGTTTTCCCCACAAAAACTGTGCCTCTCTCCTTGGCCTGACTAATGCCTCCTATCACCTGGGTATGGAGGACTGGAATAAATTCATCTTCATAACTTTGAGCTCTGTTTCACCATTTCCATTAACTGAAACACACGGAACTGGATTCTACCTTCCAGTGCCTGAAGGGATCCTACAGAAAGGTGGAGAGAGACTATTGACAGGGGCCTGGAGTGACAGGACAAAGGGAATGGCTTCACACTGACAGGGAGAAGGCTTACATTGGATATTAGGATGAAATCCTTCCCTGAAAGGGTGGGGAGGCCCTGGCACAGGGTGCTCAGAGAAGCTGTGGCTGCCCCATCCCTGGAAGTGTCCAAGGCCAGGTTGGAAGGAGCTTGGAGCAACCTGGGCTAGTGGTCTGGGATTCCCTAACAACATTCCACGACATCTGCAATCCCAGCAGGAGGAAGCACATTGTATTTTGAGTCTGCTGAGTAACAGCCATGAGGTGACACAGCTCTACTGTTGATCCAACCTGAGCTTTAGGAACAAAAAGCCAAGTCCTCCTTTATCCTTTCCTACTTCCTATGAAGGATATAATCCAAGGAGAAACCTGTTTGGGAGGTGAACTTTTCAGGACATTAACTTCTACCCAGGGAGCAGTCTAGGAACACAAATAAATCCTGGCTGCCACCACACTTCAGTACTGCAGCAAACAAACCAAAACACCTCACCCAAGTTTTAGCACCTGAGCAAGACAGACTGGACCAAACAGAACAGTTCAGCAAGATTAACTTTTCTTTCAGAAAACTTCAGGACATCCTTACTTATCTCTGCCATTAGGTGTCATGTTTCCAGCAGCAGAAGTTTTTGCAAAGTGCAGACACAAAATGTCTAAGTGAAATTTCGTCCCTGGGATTTATTAGCACCCTTTTAAGAAGATGCTTCCATTACTGTTCTGTTTAATTTCCCATTAACTATTGAATGGAAGAGTAAAAGCAAATCAATAACTATTTCAGAGCACAGCATAAAATGAATTCAGGCTGTATTTTAACCACCATCCTCACTACCTCTTCAAAAAACTAACCCAAAACCCACCCCAAATCAAGGCCAAAAAAAATCCAAATACAACCCCAGGTCTTGACTGAGTTTTAAAAGTTGTGTCTCTCTTGAATCTGCTGCTGCAGAATTAAATACACAAGGTCACAATCTGACTGGTGTTCAACATTAATGTGGCTCTTCAGAAAGTAAAACAAAGTGATAAAAAAGGAAGTCTCCCATCTTATCCTAAAAACCCAAAGTCTTCATCAGGATCCACAGCCAGAGCCAGCCGAGCTGATTTCTGAAGGCTTGAAAGTAACACCAGACCAAGGACAATTCTGAATTTCAAACAACTACAAGTAAAAAACATTTCAAATATAAAGACTGAAGATTAGAACTTGCATTATGTTCAAAAGAGCCACTTCCTTTTATTCCAGGAAAACAGATAACACGTTCCTGTTCTCGGAATATTAACATTCCTCTTCAGGATGATTTTTTGAAGCCTGTGAAGTTGCACAGAAGCAATCTGTTCCCTAAATGCTAAGCACAAGTTCAAAGTGCCCCTGAGTACACTGTGCACGTGCACAGCACAAGAAAAAACACTGCAATACACAGCACAAACAAAGTCTAGAGTTGTTTATGCCCAAGACGATGATTCAATACACAATTAAAACTTTTATGTTCGAGTACGTCCACACGTTACACTCCTGCTATTTAATTACTTTTCAGGTTTTTTTTTTTTTAAGAACAGCCCTCAGACTGGATGAACAGCCACGAAACGCATCACTAATAACCTATGTCTGTATATTTGCAGCTTATGGTTTCAAATATAAACTCTTTTGCTACGCTGTGTAAACACGAGTCTCCAAATAAAAGCATTAACGTGTCACCGGACTTATGCTGCGCTGGTAATTCAGCCCTTTTGGCCCACAGATCCTCTCACAACCTCCAGCAAAGCTACTTACCCTCAAAACGGCCACGCCAGAGCCAGGACACGTGATGGCAGACACTGCTCAGCTCCCTGCGAGCCCTCAGAGTGACAACTCCGCGCTCTGACACCGCTGGGCCTCCAAACGTCACCGCAGTCCCTTCACCGGCCCCCCACACCCCGCTGGGCGCCTCACACCTTCCCAGAGGCTGTAAGAAATATCTGCTTTTGAGGATAACTCGGCGTGTGTGGACGACCTGGCTGCACACAGACCCGGCGTGGCGAAGGCCGCGCACGAAAACAGGATTATTTTTAGCACTTCCTGCCGGCTCCACCTTTGGAGAACGACGCGCGCACGCCGCTCACCCTCCCGCTCCAAAACTGGGATTTCACAACTTCTGCTACCTGCCACAACACAGGGAGGGAAGGGACAATCTGCCGAGAGCTCCGAGTGACGATTTCCCAGTTTCTAACTTGGCACGGAGAGCTGCTGTTGGAATATGTTGCCGGTCTTCGCTGGCGTCAATAAATCGATGCCTCTTTTCCTGCCGCGGCGATGAACAGAACGTTAAATGTTTTTATTTATTACGCCGATTTTTATTTTTTTCCCATAGCAACAGGACGTGAACACGGCATTCCCAGCGTAATGAAGTCACTATAGCAACGTGATAATGATGTCGGAATAATCAGCCAGCATTTCATACTTGGTGAGATACATCGCTTCCACGAACTCAAAAAGTTGCTTCTATGAATACAAAAGTAAGAATGTGCCATCTGGAACTTGCCTTCAAGTTGGCTGATTTTGGATAACTTGTCGTTGAAGGCACAGAGCTCTGCTAACGCACCACTTTCGGTTTCTCCAAGCTCCATCCGTTACTTCCTGAAAGCCTCACAAATTCCCACATTAAAGCCCTGTTTTAATGCTGCTACACCAGTGGGAGTTACTGACACACCACTCCAGCAAGAAAAAAGCAACGACACGAATCCCAGCAGTGACACATTTCGCGGCAGACAGGCACTGTCAACTGAGCAGCCGCTTCCCTCAACTCAACTCTTCAAATAATCTGGTGTCTCTTTACGTGGAGCAAAACAGCTACTCAGAGAGAATCACAACAGCCACAGAAATGACAGAGTGCTGATACAATACTCCAAAGGCAGACAGGCGTTTTCAAGTCAAACAACTATTTTAAGAAATATTATCTCCCCTGTTAAGCTACCAAAAGGAAAAAAAGAAACAACCCAGAGCATTCATGATCTGCCCTTCCTGTTTGCAGCTCCTTCCAACCAGTGAGCAAAGCAAAACCCAGGCGCTGATTCCAGCTCCGTGTTGGTCAAAATCGGTGTGTCCAAACCCCAACCCTCCTGCTGAGAAAGCTTCACAGGAATCCTCGCACCAAAACCACACGTACTGCACCTCAAATATCGCAACCGAAGGCACCAATTAACGAGAAGTATCTAAAACACCAAAGTTTCCCTAAGCAGAGAACAGTTTCTCTGTAAAGCGACTGAAGGAAGTGCAAAGAAACCTTTCTGGAGCTGATGTTGGTCTGAGACAACTGGTCCTTGGGCTGGGAGGACGAGGGTGGGTTAGGATGACGAGGGTGGGTCAGGATGACGAAGGTGGGTCAGGATGACGAGGGTGGGCCAGGAGGATGAGAATGGACCCAGAGGATGAGGATGGACCAACACATCACTCCACATGGCTCACGAGGGGCTGCCCCCTTGGCTTGTCCCACCTGCCCAAAACCTCCTGCCATCCATCCAGGGTGAAGAAGCAAGGGGGCTGGTGAAGTCCTGCCATCCCCCTGTCCCTTGTCCTGCCATCCCCCTGTCCCTCGTCCTGCCATCCCCCTGTCCCTCATCCTGCCATCCCCCTGTCCCTTGTCCTGCCATCCCCCTGTCCCTCGTCCTGCCATCCCCCCGTCTCAGCCCACCCTGGGTACCCTCCATCCTCTCTCCCCCTTTACCTCCGGTGGTCCCGGGGGCCGGCACCGCACAGTCCCCCCGGACACGCCGGGGTGCAGCGAGCCCGGGACGCCCCGCACACGCCTGACTGCCCCGAACACCGCGGGAACCCCGGTCATTTTTCCCGAGGCTCGCCCAGGGCCAGCCACCCCCGCCCGGCTGCACAAGATGGATGTCCAGCCGCGGATGGGACGGGACGGGGCAGGACGGGGCCGGAGGCTGGAGCCGGAGCCGGGTCGGGGCCGGAGCGAAGCCGCCTCCCCCTCGCTGCCCGCCCGGGCTCCGGCAGCGCCCGCCGCGTCCCCGCCGCCCCCGCCCGGACCCCGCCGGACCCCGCGCCGGCCCCTGCCCCGCTCCGCCCGCCCCGCCGCGGCCTCGCCAGGCCCAAAGCGGGGACACCCCGCGGCCGGACCCGCCGCTCGCCCCGCTCCCGCCGCTCCCCCCGCTGCCCCCGGCCCCCGCTCACCGCCGCCTCCCCCGGGGCCGCCTCCTCCCGCCGCCGCCGCCGCCGCTCCGGCGCTCCGGGGCTCCCGGGGCTCGGCGCTCCGGGCTCGGTCGCTTCTCTGCGCGGCGGCGGCGCCGCGTCCGCTCCGCCCTCCGCGGCCGCGGCCCCGGGGAGGAGCCAGCGGGGCGGGCGGGGGTGGCGGGGCCGGAGCGGCCCCGGCGGCCGGGCAGGGACGGGGAGCCCCGGGAGAAGTTCCGGGGAAGGGCCCGGGGCAGGTGCGGGGCAGCCGCGTCCTCCCCTCCCCTCGTGTTGCGGCTTCTGCGGCGGCAGGAGCGGGGTTGTGCCCCCGTGCCCGGCACCGCCGGGGCTCTGTCCGGCTCTGGGCCCCTCGCGACAAGGACACGGAGGGGCTGGAGCGTGTCCAGGGAAGGGGACGGAGCTGGGAAAGGGGCTGGAGCAGCAGGAGCGGCTGAGGGAGCTGGGGGGGCTCAGCCTGGAGAAAAGGAGGCTCAGCGGGGACCTTCTGGCTCTCTGCGACTCCTTGAAATTGGGCTGCGGGGGTTCCGCCTCTGCTCCCCGGGAACAACAGACAGGACGAGAGGACACAGGCTTAAGCTGCACCAGGGTTGGTTTAGGTTGGACGTCGGGAAGAATTTCTTCGCGGAGAGGGTGATTAGACATTGGAAGGGGCTGCCCGGGGAGGTGGGGGAGTCCCCATCCCTGGAGGTGTCCAAGGAAGGATGGGACGTTGCACTCAGTGCTCTGGGCTGGGGGACAAGGTGGGGATGGGGCACAGGGTGGACTCGATAATCTCAGAGGTTTTTTTCTCAGTGATTCTATGACACCTCCCGGTGTCCCCATCCTCCCTCAGGTGAAGGTGACCCCCGAGGGGAGCCCTGGCAGCTCCTGGCCGTGGCCTCTCCTTGCCCTTCACCACCCAACCGAGGGACAGATGGAGACAGCCAAGAGTGGCACCAGGTGACGGCAAACAGAGCAGGGACCGAGCGGATCCCTGGGCTGAGAGTGTTCCCATATGGAGGGGATGATGCTGCACAGGGCACAGAGGGGACAAGACAAGAGCAGCAGCAGCTTTGAGGTCACCAAGCACTAACACATCACTGCTGCAGGGCTCAGGACCAGCATCACATCACCTTCACCCCTTAAAAAGCGTTTCTTGAAACACACTTTAATAGTGCGATTTTTTTTTAATTTATTTAAAAAAAGCACTATAAAGAATAAAGAACTGTAATGTTGACGTGAAATACTTCTGTAACCAAGAAGAAACAGGCAAAATGCAGGAGGAGGAAATAGCACATGTATGTCCCGGTGGTGGGTTTGTGTGGCTGAGGGTTTGGGAGTGACAGCAGCCACACAGAGAGGAGCAGGTCAGAAGTTCAGCGCAGTCACTGCACGAGGTCTCGTGATCTGTTAGATGGTTTCCTCAGCCCCATCTTCAACCATAATTCAGCTGTAAAATACACACTCAAGAAAAGCTAATGTCAACAGCTAATAAATTTCAGGGCTTTTTTTGTTTCTGGTGAAAAGTGTATAACTACCCCAGGAAGAGCTGTAGTTGTGTCCATGACTTTAACGCCCAGCTCTCCATGAACGTTACCTGGAATGCAGAGGGATAGCTCGTGTTTCCAAGCAGTGTCACCTCCTTACATAACCAGGGACAGGATGAGGACTGCAGCCACCATCCCTGGGGACTCTCCTGCAGAGCACTGTGCCCGAGGCAGCAGCGATGCCCCCGCTGCCCTCCCCACACTCCTCCATCCTCACTTGCAAGACTTCAGGGACACGAGCAGATTCGTTGAAGTCTGAGGCAAAAGCAACAATATTTTAGCCCTCACACCGCCCTCCATCCGCAACAAAATGCTAAATAGTACTTGTGTGGCTCTGCAGATGGGAAAACTAAGACAAAGATTGAATGATTTACCAAAATCCCCAGCAAGTGAGCGGCCAGGAGACACACAGAGCTGAGAGTCCCCACTCATCCACTCTAACTGAGAGGAAACTGCTCTGGTTCTCCCTCTCACAGCTTTGTGTGTGCAGCAGGAATAAATAGCCGAGAATTTTGCTTCCAGGTACGACTCGTGGCTGCTGATACCGATCTGTAAATCCCTGTTTTTATGGCTTAAGTCCTAGCAAGGTGTCTCCTTCCCCGGGGACCACCGTGCTGGGAGCGAGCAGGTGAATCACTGTTTAATTTGTGTTGCTGGAGGCAGGGCAGTGTCAGCAGAGGGATTTCCACATTTTCTGTCTCTGCAGGACTTGGCAGCCTCGGCAGAGGCTCAGTTGCTCCCCTCACAGAGGGACAGTCGGTGTGGCAAAATCATCTGCCTTGAAGGACACTCAACACTGGTGGTGGAGCAACTTGTTTCCTCCCAGTACAAACCTTATCGTGAAATCTGTGAACTTAGGAAGTTACAAGCTCGATGTTTAAAAACATGAGGTTGTTTCTGGAAAACATGCCGAGACAAAATATTTGCAATAGCTTGTGTTTTGAAAGCTGGGAGTCAGTGAAAACATCATTTCTACTGACAGAAACTGCACAAGGACACTCAATTCCTTTGAGGGGCTCGGAGTACATGGAAATATTTGAGCGTTCTGCAAGGCTTTACTTTAAATTTCCTTTGAAATTAAACGTTTAATAAACTTTGCCCCAAATATCAACGCATTTGCAGTTTTTTCCCACTCGGCACTGTCTGAAGAGTTTTATTGTATCCAATGAACCACACGCTTATCTATTGCAAGGCTTGTGGACTGTCTTCTAAGTTTCAAAACAATGAGGGTCCAGGCACGCTCAGGGCCTGACTCAGCAAGACAGAGCTCCCACTTGATGTCTGTTGTGGGAAGGTTGACTTTTTTCCCCATTTTCTGCAGGTTTGAGTGGAAGCTGATAACATTTATTGCTGAGTCAGACTTTGCAAGTAGATGAAATTAGAGCTGGATGAGTCTGAACCTGGTTATGAAACGATTAGAAGGGAAGGAGAAAGAGGTCCAAGTTCAGCTGCAATCAGAGGCACTTTTCCTAACGAGTCCAACAGGGAATAAAAGTGGATCTTCATTTGTCCCAGCCCCAAATTCTGCCCTCCTTCAGCAGGACAATGCAGCCCCAC